TGCCCCTCCGTGCCCTGGGGAGGAATCGCAGGGGTTCCCTCTGCTTGGAATTCAAACCCTGCAACGTTCTTTTAAAAATTAAACAGCTTTTCCTGAAAAGCTTCGTTCCTGTCCGTAGCGCCTGTTGGACAGACAGGTGGAGGGAGATCTAGGTAAGGGAGCAAGGCGAGAAAAGCAGAGGGTGAAGAAGACCAAGGGGAACATTTCCCTGATCGGCAGCTCATCGATGACCAGGGAGACAGAAATAGAAAAAGGCAGAAAGAGGAAAATGAGTGAATAAACCGCCTAAAATGGCTCCCAAACGTACTGAATTTCCTCCCTTCTGTAGCAGTGCTGCTTCTGCCTACGTTTCTTAGCTGGGCTGGGCTCAGCTCCTAGTATCAGTTAAGGTTGACTCTGGCCCAGGCTAGGCAGCGTTTCTCACAAAAGTGTCGGGCATCCTGTGATGTGGTAGCACGGAGAGGAAGACCTGCCTGATTCCCTGCCGGCTGCGCGGCTCTCACTGCTCAGCTGGGATCGGAACTTTACTGCGCTTGGCGTTTGGGTACAGCGTATTCACACCCCAGAAACCAGACTGTCACTGAAATTTGTCATCAGTGATTTCCTCGTTCTCCACAAATTCTGATCTATACGTAGCCTCTCAAGCGCGTTAGGCCATTAGCATTTTTAAACCTGGCTTGGTGTTGGGGGCTTCGTGTGCGTCTCGCCGGCAGGACCTTCTCGGTGAGCGCGAGGTTCACGGGCTGCAGCCGTGTGGGAGCTCTGCTTCCCTCTGCCTTAGAAATGTGTTGACAGGAGTGAACAACAACTGCACTGCCCTTGCTGTGAGAAGAAGAAAATCCCACCTGTTCAGTTTTATATTCTCTTACTGGGTTTGTGTGTGGGGCCTGTTGCCCTCAGACATGTGGGACCTGCTGCCAAGTCCTTCATTGGCCCAGTGCCTGAGCTGGGACCCTGCAGTCCAGGCTGCATCCCCACTGCTGGTGCTAGCGACAGCTCCAGGCATACAGAGTGCACGTGAGTTTGGAGTGCTAAAAGTGCCCCGAGATTGAAACACCTGAGTTTGGGCACTCAAAATAGTGGATTTTTAAAACCTTAATATGCTTTGGTGGTATAGCTACACGTTTGGCATTTGGAAATGTGTTAACATCAGCACAGCATCCCTACACCGTACGGACCCTGCGGGGTGTGTGGGAAGGGTGCCCATGCCTTGTCGCCTGCTGGGCACGGAGGGCTTGGCCTGTGGCCCCGGTGGGCAGCAGTGCCAGCAGCAGCAGCAGCAGCGCAGGGAGCCGGCGCGGCCGCGGGGCCGCGTCCTGCTGGTGAATGCGGCTTCAGCCTCGCAGCCCGTCCGCGGGGACGGGACGGGACGGGACGGTGGCGCCAGCAGGAACGGGAGGCGACGCGCTGCAGAGAACGGTGCTCGCGCTGCCGGGGTGTTTCTTAAGCTCCGTTCTGCTCCCTTTTTCCTTCCTTTTTCCTTCACCACAAAACATTTGCCAATATCAATTGGACTACTAATTCCTAGGCATTAACTTTCTAGTTGGAAAATGCAGTTTGTTTGGTTTCTTTTGGAAGGCCAGCAAGTTTCTTTATGGCTCAGAAACACTATAAAAAGAAGCTCGTGTGTTTTGCTTATAAGGATTTTATACTTATATTCCTTCTATAACAAGAAGGATTTGGTTCTCCTGATTGAGCATCTGGCTTTGAAAAGATGAGTCTTTTCCCTTCAGAAATACAGATTTATTACTTGGCATTCCCTCCTGCCTCCAGAAAGTGGCTGGGTCTGTGTTTTGCCCTCAAAAATCAGGTTGCTGACACTTGTCCCCCTTTCCTTAACAGGCTGCTGATACTCTTGCTGTGAGACAAAAGAGGAGGATCTATGATATCACCAACGTTTTGGAAGGAATTGATCTCATTGAGAAAAAGTCAAAAAACAGCATTCAGTGGAAGTAAGTCCATCCTGCCCGTCTCCTCTGCTTGAGAGCAACTCCCTTCCACTTCTCCTAGCTAGATGTGCTGACAGAGAATAGATGTTATGGTCAGCAACGAGCACCGCAGCCGGTTGGAATCCCTGTAAAATTGCGAGTGCCTTTGTGTTCCTTTAGCTTGCATCCTTGATGCCAGGTTTGGTTTGAAGCCTGTACGAGGGAAGCTTCTGGGAAACTTGTGTGGCCACCTTACAACTGCACTGACAGCTGAAAAATTTACACTGGGTGGATTTGGGGAAGTTACTGGGACATGCTGTCTCCACCTCTGTTCGTGCCTTTATGCCATGCTTGTTAAAGGCCATACAAACCCGGTCTAACACAGAGGGACTTAGGTACCAAAACCAAAACAAAATTAAGTATAAGTGAATTCTAAATTTGATCTTAAATTTAGATTTTTGTTGTTGTTGTTGTTGTTGTTAAAACGCTGCTGAGAAGATAAACATTAATTTCCTTCATCCTGAGTATTGGTAGATTATTTTTAAATATGTAAAGTAGACTTCATGAATGATGGTTTCATGTTTGCTTTAGATTTTCACATGCTCTGTTTTCATGAACCCTTGTACCTTTTCAAGAGGAGTAGGTGCTGGCTGCAATACGAAGGAAGTCGTAGACAGACTGAGATATCTTGAAGCTGAAATCGAAGATCTAGA